AACAAAAGACTGGATTTTGGAAAGGCTAATAAAATAGAACAGCACCTGGCAAACATTATTGAGACCAAAACAGACAGGAATAAAAAAGGATATAGCTCTACATATACACAGTTTTATTTAAAAGAAAACTACAGACCAATAAACATGGAAATATAAATGAAAAATTCCTAGCTAGATTTTCTGAAACTTTAAAACATTTTTTAAAATCTTACTCTGAAAGAGATAAGAAATCTTAAAGATAATAAAATAAAATCTGGAAAGCTTATCTAGAATTTGCTCTAAATAAGCTCAGCCCTGAAGATTCATCAAATCCCCAAAGTAACAAATGCTTTAGTTTAGCCATAACATTAGCCAATTTTAACTAGTTCAACTGAGTCCTACACTAAATAATCCCCAGTGCAGAGAAAACAAAAGCTTTCTAATAAGATTCTTTATCCTAAGAGCCTATATGAAACAGAGTAAATCTTAAAACCAATCTCATTAAAGAACACACACACAAAGTTCCAGGACAAATTTGAGTATATTAAGTTTGGAAATACATTAAAACAATAAGGCATAAAGACCAAACTGAGTTTTATTAGAAACTAAAGGATAGTTGAAGCAATATAGAGTCAAGCAAGGGCTTGTGACTCTAATGTCCCTGAGTTTCAGTACTATGGCTAAAATGTTACTTTATTTTTCTAAACTCCACTACTACAAGAAGGAGTGTCACTTCATAGATTAATGGAAAGATTAAATAAAACATTTCCAAGATTCTTCGAACAGTGCCTTTCAATTATTACACAATAAATATTCATACATGTTAATCTAGAATTATAGTTTTATTTTATTGACATAAAATATAACATCATTCCTAAAAGGGGAAAAAAAAAGGCATTTGATAGAGTCCACATCTAAATCTGATTTCAAAACGTTCAGAAAACATGGGCATACAGTATAAGGAAATATCCATATTGTGATTAAATAATATATAACAGAACTAATATTAATCCTAGTAGTATCATATAATCTTAGCTAAACCATAAAAATAAAATAAATAAAAAATATGAATAAGGGCTGGGGTTGTAGCTCAGTGGTAGAGAGCTTGCCTTGCATACATGAGGCCCTGAGTTCAATCCTCAGCACTACATAAAACTAAATAAATAAAAATAAAGATATTGTGTCCATCAACAACTAGAAAAATATTTTTAAAATAGGAATAATGACAAGAAGAGATCAAGATGACATACTGAAAAAAATTTTAAATTTATTAGAACTGATAAGAATTAATTAAGGACAGTTATGTGTTAGTAATATAAAGAAAATCAAAATTAGGAAAAAAAAGGGAAGGCATAGGAAAGGAATATGCAGCTAAAACATTGTACCTTTCTTCAGTTATATTAGTAACAATATAACCAGTTATTTCACAGAGGTTCTCTCTTTTCTGTAACATTGAGGAACTATTAAATGTTGAATGATAAATATACTGTATACCTTGATAACCTTTGATGATAATCTAAAATACATGTCCCTTTAAAAGAAATTCACTGTCTATACTATTTTTCAAGTTTTGTTTTAACACTGAATTTGACTAATCTGCAACATCCTTCCCACCTAACTCCCACTATTCACATAGTCAGTGAAAGCTGATTGTATAGATCCCAAAGATATCTTGCCTCCACACTTTACAATTTATCCTCCCTATACAGAATAAACACTTGTATAAGTAACCCCAGGATCTAAAGTAGTTGCTCATGTCTAATCATACTAACTTTAAGGCATTAAAAGAAGATTTAAAGGTATTTAATGATTTCACCAAGGTCATAGAAAGGTGATTTAGACTAACCCACATCCTGTCTTCACTTCCCCTGCCTATTTTTCTATCATGAATGCAGTTTCAAGTTTTCCTTGTTTCTAAATATTTAAATCTCTAAGGAAAGTACTATACTTGCATTCCTTTTAGAACCTATTAACGCATTACTTCATTGATGAATTATTTGCTGAGTCCTACTATGTGCAAAATACAATTCTAAGCTCTACAGTGACACAATATAGGCAAGTTATCTATAGGAATATTATATTTTATTCAACTCAGAAGGATGCTGTCTGTAAACCTACCCCACCCACTTCATCTATAAGTTAACATGGTTCCTGGGAGGAAACTTCCTATTGCTGCTCTGAAGAATCTTCATTTGGAACTTGAATATATGTTACACATTTCTGATCCTACACTTGGGTAAATGCCAAGCACAACAACTAAAGATACATATCAAAGACCAAAGTTAACAAAGGATTTAACTGTACTTGATTCTGCTGCCAACTTCACTTCACCTGTAACATCTAAACCTCAGAAAAGCAGCCCTCTGCAGTGTTACTACATCTCTTAGTTCCCTGACTTATCCAAACATCAGCAATCAAGCAAAGAACACAGGAAGGGGAAAAGACAGCCCTTTGTCTTTTCATGTTACACAGTGACAAGCTACTATTTAGATAAATAAAAGACCTAAGAAAGTTTTGGGTAGTGCTGCTTTTTGAAAACATTATTAATCTAACATACCTCTGCAATAAAAGAAAAAAAAATCTTGAAAATGTGGGAAATTGTTCCAACTACCATAATGCAACTATTTCCTTAAAATTTACAAGCACATCAGCATACCCATGATCTTAAGGAAAGCAGAAAACTAAAATCTGGCTATGCAACATACCCTAGACACCTCTCCTTTTACTGATAATTCATAAAGTTTCTAAGTGAAAATAAAGTTTCACTTTTGTTTCTTCTAAAGTATGAATTCACTTCCTAGTTACTGGCTTGAAGTCTACTTCCTAGTTCTTAGCTTGATGTATTTAAATCTGTTAGCTTACTTGAGGTAGGTGGTTTCAAATATTTTTAATCATATAAATATTTTTAAATATTTATACGAGTAACAAAGTAATAGTGTATTGACATGAAAAACAAATTCATGTCTTCAGAAACCTCATGGAATGTAACAATATTATGGTGATCTAAGAAATTTCCTCAGTATAAATAAAATGATCTAAAACACATATACACATATATAACATATTAAAAAATAACATCACCATTTTAAAAAAATAGTAAAAATATTTTCAAACTGATAATATTTTGAATTAACGACTACTCCTTTTGTGTAAGGAGGATGGGCTCATTAAACTAGGAACTTGGACATGATAATCAAGATCACATTCATTAGTTTGATTTTTTAATTTTATTTGTTCTAATTAGTTACACATGACAGCAGAATGCATTTTGAATCATTGTACACAAATGGAGCACTATTTTTCACTTCTCTGGTTGTACACGCTGCAGAGTCACACCATTCACGTAATCATACTTGATTGTACAATTTTATGCATGCACCTCTGGCAAGGAAGTCAGCGTCAATTGACTATGCTAAAGAAGATATTTAGTCAAAATCAATTTTTAAAAAATCTCAGAACTTCTTGCCATTGTTCAAGCTTAAGATATATGAAAAATATGAGCCACTTTTCCCATTTTGAAACTAACAAATCTTAATATTCAACACTGAAGACTATTATAAACAAAATGATACAAAGTCTATTAGCTATTGCTTACTATTCATGTAACCACAGGATCTTCCCCTAAGTCTTAACTCATCTCACATGCTCAATATCAAATACTAAATATTAAGGTTTTTCTAAACAGAATATGATTAGCAGGTAAACTGTTTTAAACTCCCATCATCATATCTTGAATTATTTCACTGTAATAAACTGCAGGCTACAATAATAATCTCCATTCACCAGTAACATCAATTAACATGAGTCTCAAAAACAATGTTCCCAAAGTGCCAAAAATAACAATGTACTATCCTTGCGTTCCAAAATTCTTGACCATCTTCAATTACCTCTATAGTATCATAAAATTCTAAAAACAATCTCAATGCAAAAATTTAGCAAGCTGTGAGTGTATAAATAGTCTACTTAAGCACAATAGTTCTTGTAAAGTCAAACACAGGTAAAATAGGAACTACTGCATGCCAAAACTACAAAAGGGTGGGGCATTCATTACTCAGGCAGATAAACCAAACAGCTTCAGTCATTCACAGTAAACTTAATTATCCCCACAATTCCAAGACTACTAAGCCAATGTTTCCCGATTGTCCAAAACGCTTTCACACGAATGGGAAATAAATCAAGTCATGGACAACTACTCTTCGGGATATGGTGCAAGCCATGATAGTGCACTTAAGATTCTGAAAGCAAAATCTAAAATAGCAGGATGAGCTCATGATTCACTATAAGATCTGATGCATCAATAAACTTTTTTTTTAATTCTCACATAAATGAGTGACCATTTGAATTTGTAACTGATGCAAGTGTAAAGGGTGAACGACAGAACAAGGTCAAACTTAGGGGACAAAAGATTCCTGGAATAACATAGCCAGAAAGGTTTCCTTTCTTAAGAGACAGTTTCAACATTCAAGAAAAGAAAAGAAAACCACCCAAACCCTCTACTTGTACACAGAGTTCACCTGATCAGTCAATGTACCTGCCCAAAAAGGGTAAGCAATTCAATTTTAGTGATCTTTTTTTGCAGAATAGCAGGCCTGGAATCCTACTACCTTCGAAATATAAACTGTGCTCAAAAGGGATGACAACTGGTATTCTCAGAAAGAAAGAAGAAGAGAGGAGTAGGGAAGAATAAAGTTTAATTAAGAAGCCGTGCGGAGCACTGTAGGAATGTGAGGGTCACTCTCAATACCTGGCACCGTCTGTTACGGGAAAACAATCGGCAGAAGGAAGTGGATTGAAACCCGCAAACTACACCCCTCTTCCACACGCAGCTTGGCACTGACTGAGCGCGAGGCCCCCAAAGAGAGGGGTTGGAGTGGTGAGTGGCGGAGGAGGAAGCCCGGGGCAGCTGAGGCCCGGGCGGCCGCCGGCGGCAAGGCCGGGGAGTGCCGGGCGGCGGCGGAGGAGGCCAGCACGTCGGAAGGAGGAGCGGGGCCGCGCAGGGCCAGCTCGTCGGCTCGCCTCACCTTCTGCGCCGCGCTCTGCTGCAGCACATTCTGCTCCACGGTCATGGCCCCCGCGGCGGCAGCGTCCGGTTCCTCGCGCCTTTGCCGGCCCTGGCTGCCGAGGTCCGCCGAACTCCAGGGAGCGGCGCAGACGGCCGGGGTGGACAGCGCCCCCACCAGCCAGGCGCG